TATATATACTATATATACAATTGATTATATGTTTCATACTTGTTTGTTTCAGATTTTAGTTTCTATTTCAGTCATCGCTCGTAAGAGATGACGAGCTATGTTTCTTGAGATTCTTTCTAGTTTTGAATGGGCTTTGCCCCTCTTATTGGGACTTAAACTTCGCACTTAATTTAAAATGTTTTGAAAATTTAGAAGCTATCAACTAGGGGTTCTTTTCCTAGCCGCAACGAGAATAACTGCATAAACAAATTTCAGTCTATTTGGCTCACTCACTCATTCATTATTTATTTATGAGTCTCACTCCTTCAACCACTTTCTCACTCCGTCACTTACTTACTCCCTCACTCACTTACTCTCTCGCTTCCTCTCTCAGTTTCTCACTCTCTCACTTCTTAATTCACTCACTCTCTTACTCTCTTACCCATTTATTCATTCACTCACACATTCTTTATTTTATGCATTCATTCACCACCTCCTAGCTCAATACTTACTCACTTGCTCATTTCATTCTCCCACGCTTGTGCATAAGTTTGATGTACAACAAAAAGCAAACTAAAGAAAGCAAAACAAGCAAGCAATAACAATTTTGCTTTCTGATCAAGCACGTGATCCATTTTTGGTAATAAATAAGCAATAATTATTGTTATGATACTGAAAGTGTCATCAAGCGTAATGATAATAATTTCTGAGAATTTCGCAGTAGCTAATATTTGCCTCTGTTTGCTCTTTTTTTCTGCATTCAGTGACGTATTTAATCTTTAGTCATGGCCGAAACCGTTCATTTGATTTATTGCTTTGAAAGTCTTTTTAAAGTACAAATACTTTGTTTTCCTTTTTTGTCTTATCAAAAATGCTTCCTTCGTTTTTTATTCTTAACAAAAATATTTTGTGTGTTTAATTCGTTTTTTACATGAAGTTGCCTACTTCGAATACTATTAAGTTCGTTAAGACTGATATGAGGTGTTTGTGTGAGATGTTGTTCGAGAAAAATTGGCATAACTTATTAATGAAGTTTCATTTTTTGTTCTAATTTTATTCACAAAATTACATACATATAAGGTGTAGAAAACGTTTATTATCATTGCTGTACAAGTTAACTTTTTGATCTGCATACATTCACACGCATTACTTTTATCAAAGATCTTTGATAAAGATATATATATCATTTGGTGGGCAATTTGCTTGTTTATATTATGTGCTAATGATGCACATAGTTCAGTGGTTGTTAGTATTTAATGGGTTTTAATTTATTATATTATTCCATTATATTTGTATTTGAAAGTATTTTTAGGGTAAGTTTTGCTCCAAAAAAGATCATTTCAATACTAACATGAAATAATTGTTTAAAGCAAGCAAGAGAAGTAATCAGAGAGTTATTACACAGCAGTGGATACAAATCATAGTTATTTCATTTTTGATCGTTTATACGTGACACAAAAATTATTATTAGCTTCATCTGTTATTCTATCACTTATGATAGCATTTCAATAATTATCAAGCTGTCCAATGATAATATTATCGACAACAGTAATGAGTTAAATATGTAGCGAATTGACGTTGATTTGAATATAAAATCGATCTAAAGATTACTTCACGTTTTAATTTAGATTTTATTTGAGCCTTCACATATTATTTTGTGCACCGTAATGATTCACTTTAATTTTGTTTAGCTAAATGGTACATAATTTTTTTCTCTTTGTCTATGTCTTATGCTATCTAAAAGTTACAGGGAAATAAAAATTTATTATATTCAAATTGTTGAAATAGTAAAAGACAAAATACAACCACCCATAAATACTGATGTCATACATAATTTACATTTTGACGTTGAGTACACTGCGTGAGCAGTGTACAAGAATTGCATTCCAGTCTTAGTTTTGATATGACAAAATGATTCCTAAAAAATTTTTAATTCATTTTTTAAGATTTTACTACATATAATAGTCGAAAACTGATTATAATTCATTCTTATTTCTTTGTAAACATTGTGGCGTAATTTCTTTCCAGACCGGTTTATTACTACAGACGATTTATTTTAGTCTTTCTTTCATTCGCTGCGTTGTTATTAATTTGGATTTTCTAGAACAAAATATTTAATAATACGTTATTTTAGTTATCGTATTTTTGGTGTGAACGCACACGACAGATAATTGCAGCGCAATGTATGAAGAATTAGAGGTAACTTATCCAACCTAATAATTTTGCAAATTTTATGTTTACATGAACAGAGTATAAATGTATCATCACCGAAATAAATGATTTGTTGTTTGCAACTTTCTTAAGAGTATTTTAATCCTTTGGCAATTATATATACTTACATCTTTAAACCATTCTTTTCGTATTATCGTACAGAAAAATGTAATTATACTTCTCCAACTTCATCATATTCTCGTAGTATTCGCACCCATATTCAGTAAGGCATAAACTCCTTTTCTACGATTTTAAAGCAGGAGAAGGCTCATAACACGTACTTGGCAACTATGGTACCCTATCTTTCAGCAGACCAGAAAGCGCTCTTGTATAGCAAGACAGAAAAAGAGATTCTTCACGCAAACCTGTACAAGATACGTAGTAATGATCTAGCCTTTATAATGATCTAATTCAGCAGCATGGCTGATACGGAAATATGATCCTACGAGAAGAGGCGCGATACTGTAACTCCCGGAATAAAAATATATTTAGAGCTTGCAAGGATATTTCTCCACATTGTAAGGAACGTATGATGACGGTGGGGCGACCTGCCAGCATAATGGAAGATCTTTAATAAGAAAGACCATAATATATAATGAATTTTCTGGAGAACTGTGAGCTGTATTTACACTCATTATAGAAAGTGAATTTCGCCGGCATAGTTGAGTAAAATTCATTACATGTTTCAATTTCTGTTTATCTATAATTTATGGATTACTTTTGCTGGTTTTTTGACTCTCACTCTCATATTTTATTTTTAAAGCTTAATTGGTCGTACAGAGATTTTTGATAGTCAATTTTTCTGGATTTTTTAATAGATAAGAAAAAATTCCCGTCCATGCGAAAAATTTAATTCGCTGTCAGATTTATTTTCACACATGTATTTGCAAGCGTTCAGAATAATCTCATCGTAATCATTAAAATTTTTGAAAGAAAGCTGATTTTTTGTCTTGTGCTCTCTTTCACGCAAAAGACTGTTGTACTGCAGATCATTGGTAGCTTGCACTTGTCTTGTCTATGTTCAGTATCTTTCTCAAAAAAATTCTGTAAAAGGCTAATCTATATTTTTCTTTCTGGAATGTATGCACTGAATTTAGCATTGCATATGATGTTTTGATGAGAATGAGAGAAAAATTATTTGAAGAAAAGGATGCAACGCAAATACGAAGCATAATCATTTTGCTGATAACAAATCATACATTTACAGCCGTTTTCATATTATTTTATGTGTTTATTATTTCTGTCGGCATGTATGAATAGAATGGAATATTCGTTCGCATTTAAAATCTCTCAATTTCTAGCTAGTTTTTGTCACTCTTATTAGTTTGATTATAAGACTAGCGTTATCTGGCAGTCATACTGGTTCTTTTGTATTTATTATAAACGTTATTTTACAATTTATGTAAAAAATTTATCACTGTTGTTTTTGTTTTTCTTGTTTTCCTAATAGGCCTTACTTTTCCAGATGATTTCAATTCAAACTAAAAAATGCGGCTTTTTGCATGTTTATGTACAAGGTAATCTTAGTGATCGACATGGCAAAACAGTCATCATGACTGTACATGATGTTGGCACGAACTGTAAGTTTTGAGTGGGATAAAATTTATGATTATTTTCTACAAGTATAGTAAAAAATTATTGTTCAAATCAAAAACAAATGCATATATAATCTTGTATCATTACTCTATGAATAAATGAATACTTAGTCATTTAATTCATTTTTGCTTTTTTCACTCCATATTTGTGAAAAAAAATGTTCTGAGCAATGAGTGAGATTTAATAATAACATCTCATTTCAAGTTTTTAGGCGTAAATATAAACTAAATAAAAGCATCTTCATTTGTTTCGAAAATTCATGTAGCAAATGACTTCAAGTTTTTTACAAATTTCTAAGCATACTAAAGCAACATTAATTGTTCGTGTTGACAGTAACTATTTCATGTTGACAATTAATGTAGTAATAAGTGATATGAAGTTATTTTTTTTCAGTTTTACTAATAAGTACTACAGTGTTTTGTAGTAAATTAATACTGTCATGATTTTTATACAACTTGTACTGTTCTGGATCAAAAACATTTCATGACTAAAGTACTATGCAAAAAAGTGAATCAACATTATTCTGCAATTAAAAAAATTTTGAGCAGAGCAATAATAATAGATTTTTTACGCGGATAGATTTTAATTTCGAACATTATTATTATAAGTGATAAGAAGTGAATGATGAATTGCTGAAGTAATGTAATCTTTGTGATAGATTAGTTTTTTTTTTCATTATTTTTCTCATATGATTTTATTATGTTAATGTTTCAGTCTTGTCATTTTTTTACCATTATATTTCATTCAGAAAAAATTTTGTTTCAAAGTTTAATGCTCGCAATTTGTTATTACTTTTTTTCATTTATTCATAGACAAAAGTTTCGTCCGTTTTTGCAACCATCCTTCAATGGCTGATGTCAAAGCAAAATCAATCTTTCTTCATGTTTGTGTTCCTGGTCAAGAAGATAATGCTCCAGATTTTGCCGGAGAGTTAGTTATGAGTTGTTTTTCATTCATCTTAGAATGTTATTTGAACACTATTTATAGTGTAATATTTTCGTTTCTATTATCAATTTTGGTGGCTTTTTAAGAAAATTCAATTCACTTTAGCATGAAATCATTTCTATATTAGTAACAATACTTACTTTGCAGTCCTGAAGAGGACATTTACTATTCTTTGCCTCTTTTCAGTTTTTTTTTGTTTTGTTGTGAAGACAGTTATGATTGTTTCTTACTTTTTTTTGATGGCCGAAGAAAATGGATTTTATGATAAAACATACAATACTCAGAGAGTTATTCAAGGCTATTTAAAATACAATTTTATTGCAGTTTTGAAAAATGTGACCACATAAATTAAGGTAATCATAAGCTTTAGTTTTCCCTCACTTGACCAGCTTGGTGAAGATCTTGTATGCGTACTTGACAAACTGGATATAAAAACATGTACTGCATTTGGCGAAGGTGCTGGTGCAAATATTATTTGTCGTTTTGCTGTGAGTTCACAGTAATTGCACATAATTTTTCGAAAAAAATTATTATAAAACTGCGTTTATCTATTTTTTTAACAAGGCATTATTGAACAGATTGTCAGACTTGCTGTTATTCTTCGGAATAATCTATGGTAATAATATTAGATTAAAGCTGGTAAAACAAGTGTAAGCTTTTCAATACTTCTATGTTTAAGTTGTAATTGAAACAAACTAAATTTGTTTGCGATATATATGGAAATAATTTTATTTATAAATCAAAACTTGTAGATGTCGTCGCCTAATCGCATAATTGGAATTTGTCTAGTGCATTGTACATCAACTACTGCAGGGATCATTGAGTACTGTAAAGACAAGGTTCTGTTATAGATTTCTTTCAAACGAACTTGAGATTGTTCATTTTTTAAATTTAGAATCAGTTTCCGAAAATTTTTTTGTAATATTACAATCATGCAAATGAACGAAATGCATAACCCTCTTGTTATGTACTATTTGCAGCTTATAAATATGCGACTTGAGTCAGGTGTTATGTCGCAAGGGGCGTGGGATTATCTGGCCATGCATAAATTTGGATCTGTAAGCACTACATTTTCATCTGAAGGCACTTTTGTTGAAGGACGAAATTTACATGTTTAGGACTTGAGTGTTTTGTCTTTCATTTCTAAGAATTGCTTCTATATTTTCCCGAATATGTTTGCTTTAATTTCATTAATCATTTTAACCTAAGTTTTTCTCATAGACTGACAAGCGGGAAAAGCAGGCATATATTGAAGAACTGAAGAGTTGTTTGAATCCAAGAAATCTCAGCAAATACCTCTATAGTTTTTCAAAAAGAAGTGACATATCATCGCTCATTGGTACTAAATTGGACAAGTCAGTTTATTTGCATTTTGTTATCAAATAGTTGGAAAAAATTGGTTTAAGGTTATGATGGTTGATCGAGCTGTATATGTGTCTGTTGTTAATTAAATCACATTTTAATTTTAATGTTTCAAAAATGATCACTATATCTTCATTATGGTATGGAGGTTTATTTTCTTTCTTGCTTTATTGATTTGGCTCTGGATCGTATTCCGGCACTCTGACTGTACTTGTCCTGTGCTCAGATTTGTTGTACTGATCTCTTCTGCTTCATCTTTATAAAATTCATAGCGATCATCGAATGAGCCTTCGAGTGTCTTCTTGAGCATTATTGATTAACTTATGCATATACATGGTCAGATATACTGATCTCCTTCACGTATCGCTTATGGAAGTTCGTTACAGTCTCATGTCAAGCCATCATATACGAAATTATTTTTGTCATGCATTTCATCTCCGCATCGAGTTTGTTAGCATTAACACCATACTTTCCCCTTTTCTCGTTTTTGATTGCTGTGAACCTGTTATGACCAGTGATTCAACCTCTGTCAGGATTACTTCGTGTCACTTCTTACCGTAGATCATGATATCCGGTCGATCCAAACTTATCTTTATAGCTGTTCTTACTCGCCAATCTCCTCTGATCTCTACGTACTCATTCAGGACAGTCTTTTGAACAGAGTGCATTCTCATACATACTTGCAAAATTTCATATGGATTATGTCTTCTAGTATAATCATGATACAGTATTTTCTCACAGTGTTGCCAAATGACCCACCTTCACACGTACCATGTAATGTGGGCATGTTTTTTTCTCAGCTGACGTCCACTGTTTCAGGATATTTCATACCCTTGAGTTCTTTCCAAATTTCCTTGGCCATAGATTTAATAATATCCTCGTCGTTCGCAAAGATCTTAAGATTATCCAGAAACAATACATCATGCTCATTCCTTGGGGGGCTGGAACCAATCCACTACTTTTCGGTATCTTATATAAAGCTGATGGTTCAGCGATTTCATTGTTTTTTTAGTATAACTGCCCATCTGAATGTGATATATCTCAGAAACCTTCTTTCTCACCTTGAACCTGGCCAACAGTTCCTCAATAGTTGTCTAAGAGACTTTTATATATAATCTTTTATGTGTGAAAGATCTGTGAATTGTAGTGTGGACGCATTATTGGTCACTGGTGCTCGTGCGTCTCATTTGCATACTGTTTACACAACGCATAAGTCAATGAATAAACGAAAAACGACGCTTCTGGTTGTAGATAACGTTAGCGATGTGATGGCTGAAGCGGTTGCTTTTTATGGCTTTCTTTTCTTTTCAGAAACCTTTGCTAATATTATTTGTTAACTAAATATTAAGTGATTGATTTCATTTTTAGCCTGAAAAATTGGCACGTTCACTCATTTTATTGTGCAAAGGTTGCGGCGTATTATCTGGAGTAGCCATTCCTGGTATGGAAAGACAGCGTACACTGAGCAGGTTTAAAGAATTCTTAGTTTTTTTTATCGTGGCCAAACAAAAATAATTTGTGGAAACACGTATAATATACTTAAAAGTATGATTTTAAAGAAAACTCCGCATTATAATATTCTAATTGTCCTTCCTACGCTGCTACATTATAGCACTATTGTAGCTCAATGGAAGAAGCGGATCGTCCTCGTCGCTTCTCTCTTGCACAACCAACAGCGCCAATTTTTCAATAAAAAGATGACTGTACTATCATGTTTCCGTAAGAAGTGACTTACATAAATTTTGTTACTGCTCAAATTATCGAAGTTGCAGTTTTCTGAAAGTAAATATCCAGCATTGGTTTCGTGAGTTCTGTACCGTTTTTAGTGTTTCACCAAAAAAGGAATATTAAAATTAGTAATCAACTGAACATTTGTTAGGGAATAGGAATTAAAAATTTAGAGCACTTTAAAAATATGAGCTTAAGCAAAAAAAGTGGCATTTTTCTCAGCAAATGTTTATCATGTACCATTTAATAGTTTTCTTTCATGTATTCTGCGAAAAAGCCTTACTTTCCGCACATCTTTTTTATTTGACCTTTTCCATTTAATCGTTTCGAATTTATGAATTTTTTTTTTCAAATCTTACCTGAACATTCTTTATCTAATTTAATACACTTATGCGTGCACTCGTAAGCCATATAGACACTTATCTAATCTAAGGCAGTTTAATCTTTTTTATTTTGTGCTGCCACTTTTAAATACAAGTATAATCTATTTGTACATCTTTATCCATGATGTTATTTAAAATGAATTCTGAAAAAAAGTTGGAAGTTAATATGCAGAAGTTTTACGGGCACAAATTTGGGTGAGATAGAGATGTGGTTTGCAAGTGCCATGTTGCCTTAAATTTCACTTGAATCAAGAACTTTTATTCCTCAGTTGACAATGACCAAGCCTATGTGGCAGTGCCATTTCACTAGTCTAATATTGTCTGTGGCGCTTATTCCCATTCCTAGAACATACCTTTACCTCACGAAATCTTTAATACTATAATTGGGTAATGTTTGTACTGCATCATACGTAGCCATTATTGTGTAGACATATTAATTTTCTCAAAGGTTCCATCATTTATCAACCAAGTCCATTCATTCCTTAGTTTTTAAATTACGATCAATGTAAGGAGCACCATTCATTTTTCACTCACGCACATACCCCACCCCACTTTCTATCTAGTGTGCGTTTATTCTGCCACACTTTATTGCTGACCTATTGTGCACAATGTTCTTGAGCACGTACCGTCAGGGTTGTTTTTTATGATGTTGTACAAACAAGAATTTGACTCACCGTGTTTTGCATATATTTGTTTAATAAAAAGAAAAACTGAGATTTTATTGTCTCTTAATGCTATCACTGATTTGAATAGTTGGGTTAACCGAACAAATTGTACTAATCGTTTGGAATGACTAGGAGCTATGCAAAAATAGATTCATGTTGTCGGACAAACAACCTTTACAAGAATTGTTTTCCAACAAGTACATAAAAAGATTACAATCCTTATGATTTGTGTTTGCTAGAGCCAATACAAATGATTGACTGCAGATTAATTTTGTAGTTCTACTTCCGTCAAAAATTTTAAGTGCATGGTTACAGCAGTGATTACATTTCGTAATGCAAATTCTCTGAGCATAAAATGTAAAAGGCAGGAATTATCAACTACGTATACAATAACAATGAAATCTGGTATAATGTTAGGTTCCGGAGTATGTGTTTGCTTAATAACAGATTTTGTGAGAAATGAATTAAACCTTTAGCAGTTTATAGCGTTACTGTTCTTCATACAAAGTTCATCAATACCATTTTATTATAACTACTACTGTTAAAGAAATAGTAACATACCACCTCATCAAAAGCCTTAAGCACTGTAGATGGTTGAAAAAAATACGCTTTGAAATATGATTTATACGAAATTCGTTTCAATGAAGTTCAAGTTTCATCTTAGAAAGTAATAGCGACCAGAACAATAACTTATCAAATATTAAAGAATGTTTTATAACTTGTCAAAACTCCATTAATATTGATATGTAGTTAACGGACAGATTTTAATTAAGGCTGCAGGTATAGCTGATCTTGCGACAACATCATATATCCCCATACAGATGGGTCGCGCCTCATGTATCTTCTTTTAGCGACTTTAAATAAGAGCCATAATGTAAAACCAAGAAGTAAGTATAATGACCCCATCCAGTATGCTGGAATTCGCGTAATAACTATTCGGTGGTTAGAATGCAGCAACTTTTGCTGCACAGTTTCACGAAGAGGAAAATATCTGAAAAAAAATCACTGCAATCTTTTATCAGAATTCTTTAGTTTGATATTTGTAAAAAAAAAGTATAATACAAACCTCATATGATACAGAAGAACACCCAAGGCCCAGTGTAATTCTTGTCCGTCAACATCAAAAACGGAACGAAAATGATTGTGAGTTTTACTTAAAGAGAAGCCTTCATGAAGAATAGCTGTTATCCAAGCTGACTTAAAACACTGTGATCTAAGCCTATCGTCATCTGCTTTTGGGTATAAATTATTTCGATACTTCATCTGAAACGAAATATACTAAAATTGTAGTTGCTACTAACAAGACTCGAGAACACTATTTTCATCTGTAGTTTTTTGTGCAAAGGTTTCTAGCTAAAAAAGCCTAAGAATTAAACTATACCAATTTTTTACCAGTGTGCTTTAGTTTAATACTCTGTGAACACAGTTTAAAAAAAAGAAAAATATCGCTGCATTCTTTCACTAGTGTGCTTTAGTACCTTGGGTTATTAAAAAAGTAATAAAATGAAACTAACTAGTATTGTAGACCACTTCATACGACAAAATTCACGTGATTTTGATGAAATCCTGTTAAAATCATACGAGCCACCCACAGATAAAACATTATCTAGAGAAAACCAATATTCACTGAATCCATACAACTCGACATCAGATAAAGAAATAGAAGGCGCACGAACGAGACCAAGAAAACACTTCAGTGAATAACAGTCAGAATTGACTACAGTGCTTGTTAACAAAGACGTCAAGTTTTTCACACAAATATCCCAATCGCCAACACCCTACGAAAATACTATACTGTACAGCACAAGATTTTAATATTCATCATACTTAAGATTTAAAATAAAGTAATTATATGACATAAACTGAAGATATATGTGAAACGAAAAAACTTTTTCAATTAAAAAACTGACTTTTCGACTAAATTGCGTACCATCATTTCTCGTCACTACTTTCAACAAATTAACTGGCAAACATGGATCTCTTACATACGACTTATTTGAATTTTCTTCTATCAAATCATTGCTTAATTTCTGTTCATACTTCCGAAGAGCTTCATTGACACCATAACCAAGAAATGTTGTCACAAACAGTCGATAACTACAAATTTACCACATTTATTCTTTATATAAAGAACATCGAGCAGTTAGTCAGAAGAAAAAAAAAGGCACATTATTTTATAACACAGAAAAACCTGTAAGTCTGATCGTTATCTTTCCAACCTAAATTGATGGTCTCCACAGTTGTACCAATGTTTTCGCTTGTTACATTTAATTCAACTGCGATTTGCGTTGATGCTCCACCCATATCAATTATACCCACAGTAGGTTGCCGCAAAAGTGTTCTGTTACGAGTGAATCTAAAACAAGACGTCTATCAAGGTAAATATGTTTAACAACAATAATAATAATATGTATGATGGAATAACGCATTAACATAATATGAACAGCTGCGATATTGCTTAAACAAAACATCAGGGAACAAGTTTTAAAAGTTTAATTAAGATTCAAAAAAAGGCAAGTTTTACCTGCCCAAGATATAATTTACAGCAACCCAGGAATAAATACCTTCCCATTTTCCTTCAATAACCTTAATATGCTCTGGAACAATTTGCACACTTGTTAAAGACGGTAGATTCTGATGAAGATTTTGTAATATTCCATTCTGTTCTCTGAAAAAAGAGTAAAAAATTATGGACATAAATATAGAAAAGACTGGAAGAATTCACATAGTGAAAATTTTCTATAAAATCCCTTTCTATTCATAAAATTTTCATGACGAGTTTTGAGAGAATTTTAACACATGGTGCGAAAAAAAATTTAATTACTTTATGGGAAGTAAACGCATTCCAGCAGTGGCAAATATAAAAAGAGATGTATAAGAGCGCTTGTTTACTGGAATAAACTCGATAACATAATCCAAAAGAGGTTTAATATAAACTGAAAATAAACATTCAAGAGAGATTTTAAATAATAAGAAAGATTAAAAAAATCAAAAGCTTTTCAAAGATTTCCTAATAATTTACAACTTAATCACTTTTGAGTCTTAATTAATTTTACGAAGTTTTATAAATCCTGGGTAAATTTATACAAATTGAATATAAAAAGAGATGAGTAAAAGCGTTTCTCGTTCTTAAAAACCTTGAAACCAAAAAATTCTACCAATTCTGAATATAAATATAGAAAAAATGACATACTAGCAGCAGCTTGAGGCTTATTTCGGAACGATGACAATCCAGGTGTGACTTTTTTAACAACAGGACGTAAGGACAGTTTATCTACAACTGGTTTAATATCAATCAACTCTTCATCATTTACACTGCGATATTTGTACAAAAAAAGACGAGATCCTGTGGAACCTGCATCTATTATAACAGAATAACTCCACTGCATGTCTGTTTCATCACCTGAAAATGAAAATATTGAGATAATTTGATCCTTTACATAATTCTTTAAAAATAAAACAGCGATAACGGCTTTGTATCTTTAATTCAACTGAAACTTCTTTAAACTATACAAAACCAATGTCTTGACATACTTGTAGTTGCTGCATAATTAGGTAAAACAGAAAATAGGAAAATAATAACAAAAACCAAAAGCGCGGCACCAACAAGTAATCTTAACATTCCATTGGACATCACCTTCCCGATATCAAGTGCACTCGTGAAGACCCCTGAACTTACATCTAAAAACCATTACTAGTTATTTCAAAGAATTTCATAAGACCTCCTCTACGAAAAACAAGCGAAAATAATATACAAACTGTTCAGATATGCTTGACCACAAAGCACCATCGATAACTGATAAAACCAAAACTCATCTCACCAGAAATTCTAATTAACAAACAAAACTTCCTTCAGGACTATAATCGACCTGAACTACCCAAATAATGACTCTTTCCCACAAACAGGTTAATTCCGATTATGATCGCTTATGTTGCATGCACTTTCTGAACAGAGAAATACTTTTAATACATGACTCCACTGATTCTTTTTATCACCATTATTTATACATGAAGAGATATCAAGAGTGGATCTTCCTTCTCACAACTGTGATACATTAATTATAGAAGAATGAAAGATATAGAGATGGAGCGATCATTTACCATCCCAAGTCTGGAAACGTTGAATATTACAAGGATGAGCCAAACCATATATGATACTTTTATTTCCGTTATGCACATTGCACGTAATTATCTTAAGATGTTCCAACTTCAAACAATAGGTCAAACGTTAAAGAAAACATGTTTCCATATACGTAATGATATTGTTTAAAGCATCAACCACCATATAAAACTATTGAGGTTACAAAATATTAAAATTGCACAAAATAAAAACAAGAAACGAATGATAAGCTTACACAAAATGAATTGAAAGAACGACAAAAATATCATAAAAATAATGATCCGAAATATAAACACGTAATTCACAATGATTCTTTGTTTCTACTGTGGTGGCTGGATCTCTGTTGCATTTTTCAAACCAGACATCCTAAATCTCTCATTTCGGTGAATTATATCTTTGAAGACTGCACAAATTAAGGATATTGCATCGATGAGTTAACTTTAAAGTTTAGCAATTTCTCTACTTCTAATACGATCATCTGGATGCTTTAAATAGAACACATATTTCATTCTTGAAATGCAATAAAAATATTACCTAAGCTCCTCAATTGCATACAAACAGTGCTTGACAATGAGTGGCATCTGTTTCGAACTTTCTTCACGCAAAATCTGAATTAATTTCTCCAAAATATCTTCAGCACCAGTAGCACAGCAGTAAGCATGTATTCTACTCAATTCCTAAAAAAATGGAGCAATTTATACAAGCACCGAAAAAGTATCGTTCTACGTGTAGAAATTCTAAAAATTACCAGGTACCGTATAAAACAAGAACATTTTATCAGGAATTTTCTTCAATAACCGTGAGATCTTTTGCATATCACTTTGCAATCCATGAGGTTCATACCAACAAGTTCTTGGTTGTGAAAAATATGATGGTATGGAAAGGTTATCATTGCTTACACAAAACGACTGCTCATAATTTTCTGTATCAACAATATTCTGCAAAAGTTCATGTACATCATAGAGGACAAAGAATCAATTATTCAACAATGAAAACTGCTTATAAAAACTATTAGAACAGCACGAAATCCACATGATTTCTAGAATACCATTAAGGAATTAACCTGAGAACATAAAGTTGTAAGCGGAGGCAACCAAGGAACAGGACAAATGCCAGATGGGAATAATGCTATTAAAAGTCGATTACTTGTAAAGTCATCCTCCTCTTTAGAACTAAAATAAATCAACTTGATAAATGAAAAACTGGAAATGGACGAACTTTCACCAAATTGACATCTCATAACAGTAAATTGATAAGCAAAAAAGAAAACTTGAAAACTCTAATTTTGCTTCGTATGACTTTGAGAAACAACTGTTAAAATAAGTACTACTGTTATAATTTAGCAAGAAATGGATGTATTTCAAACTGGAATTGGAATACATTTACCAAATAGAACACAATGCTGCATATAAATTCTCACTGATATGACAAATAGCCATACTTTCATCAGCATGCATTGCGGCACACAAAATATTCAACATGTCTTCGCTACCTAAAAATGCTAGAAATCACTTTCATGATAACTGGAGAAAATTTTACAGATTTTCAATACATCAGAATTTTACTGAAAGTGACTCAAAGGTTGACCTGGGCATGGCAAAACAAAATGATGCCTAATGGTTGGTACATATGAACAGTTTACAGGTATGAATCCAATGATTTCAAAGATTGAATCCCAATCATAACTGTCTCCTGATGGTATTACCTACAAAATCGATTTAAATAAAACTCTTTGTAATATGCTCCAATTCACTTCCAAACTTTATAAAGAAGCATTTTTGCAATTAGAACAAAGCATATACTTTAAACTCTGCTTTTAAGAAACCGCAATTCAGTGTGAATGTTGGTTCTGGACATAATTTTTTTGCCAGAGCTTCACTGCATGCTTCAATATCATCGTAATCAGATAAGAAAAATGGCATTGATGATTCACATGATTCAAATTCAAACTGAACTGTGGAGCGTTTCGTCTGCACTAAAACAATCTTTACACTGCTCATGAATATTGAAAATAATATACATTATAGACAAAAGATGACACATGCTCGTTCCGAATTCACTGAAACTATTCCTATATATAACGCTTAGTTATTACTGCAATACTGATAAAAAGATCTCAATATCAAGTTTAAATAAGTAGCCCTTTTACTTACATGAAATAGCCCAGAATCGAGCAATTTGATCACTATTTGTTAAATTTTCATCCAAAACACAAACGAAACTGACCGAACAATTCGGCAAATGCTTAAGGTTCACCTCCTCCTCAAACAGAAATACTAAAAGCATTAAAAGTACTGAAAGCGTAGTTAATTTATAAGTTTTGAAAAAGTTTGCCTACGGGAGTGAAAGTGCATGCATCAGTGAATACTAGAAGAATGCTGCTTTCGTTATCATTTTCCATTTTCACCAATAAAAATAACGCGATTAAGTCTGCTGAAGCTGAGACGTTTATGCTGTAAAATGCTGTCATTCACTTTTAGCAGCGACTTTCAAATTTCAGGAAAAAATTAATTAATTTAAATCTGAAAAAATGAACTAAATACAATAAACACGACAGTGAAGGAAATATGATGTGACTATGTGAGAAACTTTCTAAAGAGTCATGAAATAAGTCGAATTTTCCACTGAATCAGATACAAGAAGCATTCATTTTAACACAAACCACTTCAATTTTTTAGCAACTTCTTCAATTCTTCGTATATCACATGATACAATTTTGGAATTGTGAGAAAAATCAATCTAAAATGCAAATAACTCCTATATATTTATCTATCCAGTTCATAAACAATCCGCTAAAAAATGCAAGATAACAAACATAGATACTTTTCTACCACAAATAAATTCATTGACATCTACGCTACACAAGGATTCGAAATAATTCTAACTTAAAAGAAACAAATTCGAAGTTAATTGAACGAACCAATTTAATCTTACGATCAGGATCTAATATTCGAACTTTTTCGATAAGTTGTATAGCCAATTTACGTGCCACAACCCACCTTGCTGTATTGTCCTCTTGATTCACAGGTAATCGCATTGATAAAGACGAGTCCAGAGCCAAGAACAAAGTCATCTGCTACAAAAATATATAGTACAGATATTCAGTACGGACCCCAATTTCAGGTCTCCTTCATTTCCTCCACAACCCATAGAAACCTCAGCTTGCTATATCTATGGCCATTCACTGCTCATTATACCATGCGGTATCCTGAAACACACACAACACAATATGAAATTCCCAATCTCGTCAGTCAAGTTTGTGTATTGTGGTGCATTTCTGCAACCGCATATTGGGAAATTTATTGAAAACACACACTCTTTTATACCATATTTTTTCATTCAAAAATTCCGGCCGAAAGATGCTTAGAACATAGAGATACCAAGCATTTCATCACGCAGAAACTTCGAAACATTGAAATTTATTTGTCCATAAGTACTAAAGTATTTCTTTCTTACCATTTTTAAGCAATAACAGAGACCATTGTTACAGTAAGCAATACTGCGCAGTTTCGATAATTATAAAACATTCGCACTCTAAAAACTCTCCTTGATATACAGGCTACAAATTTAGTCTAACTATTACGTCAAAAACTGCAACAAACTCCTTAATAAAAAGTTTCGTATGATACTAATATTTCAATCACAACAAACTAAAGTTACAAACTCAGGATATAGTTGTCACTCTATGAACACAAATAGTTCAACGACATAAGTAAATACATGTACACACAGTTTTAAGAATTCAATCTTCGAACCATCTCACTGAGCTCGCGAATTTTCTCTGCTCCAACCCGACAACATCCCCCTACAACTTTCATACCCAGATATTTCCATTCCATTAATTGGTTCATGTTGGGAAAAGAGCAGTTGCCATCTTTCCAACTGAAAAAGTAAGAAACCAATATATTACCTTCATTTATTTTACTTTTAATTTTAAAGGTGTTTTAATAGAAATTTCAGTAGAATACATAACAAATTTGGCTAGAAAATATTGAAAAATGTGGGAAGGAAAAATTAGACGTTTGCTGGCTCTGTTCATAAATCTCGCCACTATTGGGGTAAACAATTATTGGTAATGATCTGGTTGATGCAACGGCCGAACGTAATAACGGTGTTACGTATTCTGGTGACGTGCAGTTGATTCCTAAATTATTTCGAATCACGAGGTAATTTTTACATTTCAATATACATATTCAAATATATAAAAAATATTGAATATTTAAAAATAAATAGAAATATATAAATTTTTATGTGGAAAGGAAAAATTTATTTACATATATATATATGAATAAATTTAAAAATAAATAAATACTAATATATAAATTTCTCAGCTTTGTCGAAGTGCTGAACGGTTGACTTTGAGCTGCTGCGTTCAAGAAACATAAAATGAAGGGTAAAAGGAAATTTTTTGAAATCATAAATGAAAACAATGCAAAAACAGATGCGATTGGGAAAAGTTATGTGAAGGGTGTAAAAGAACATACTGCCAGTGTATTAAGACCCCGTGCCAGCAGAATGATCACGACTGAAACACTCGTCAATGGAATCGAAATTTTGCGAAGCAGGTGGCCAGGAGAGTTGCTGAAAGTGGTCCTTGACCAATTTGGAAGGATCCCGAGAAGGGGTTGGCCATTGTGTCGTTCCCTGTACAGAAGTTACTAAACTCGAAGAACTGAAGAAGCAAGCGAATTCTGTGATCACCAGTATTGCAGATCGTTTGTGCTCACAGAAACGGTTCTTGGAGGAGTCAATGAAATGTATATAAGCAAAAGATACGTACTTCGAGAAAAACATGCTACTCCAGTCTAAGGTTTATCTAGAGTTATCTAGATTTTTCATACATAGCAGATACAGGTAGCATAACAATGTTATGAAAACATGACAAAGCGACAGAAGAAGTCATCAGAGTGGAAGGCGAGCATAAAAAAGAAGGTGAGCTTTAAATTTCCAGAAAACCCTCATAGGATGAAAAGGTTGCGGATGCAGCTGATCAAGGAATGCTCATAACGAATCCTCTGTTGTTTCTGGATGATCTCAAAATTTTTGCGACCGATGAGGATATCACGAAATTTATGGCCAAAGAACTTGAGAAGTTCCTTGATGTGGTAGGACTAGAAGTAAATCCAGCAAAGTCAGCCACTAATACCAAAGTATGAGCTGATAAGGCGGTGCTACTGGAAGGAACTCAAGGGCATAAAATACCTTGGAATAATGGAAGATAGGATTAGCGCTCCGACTCGAGAAAGCTACGATAAAGCGGGAGCAGAGATTTTGGCGATCAGCCAAAACTGCACTAAATGGCAGGAATTTTATCAAGGCGGTGAATGAGCACCCATAAGTTTAATAAATTATTACACCGGATGCTCGAGCTGGAGCCAGAAGACTTCAAAGCTACAGACCACGATATCAGACAATTACTATACAGATATGGAATTCACAAGCAACCTGCATGCTTGGAAAAACTGCACCTGCCAAAGGACGAGCTAGGACGCTTCATAAGCTTCAACAGAGGAGTAACCTTATGCTTCTCCAACTGCATAGCGCTCTTGTAGATACCGTGCCCATATCCACCAGGAAGGCAAAGATTTTGAAGTAGAAGAAGGCTTATAACACGTACTTGGCAATTATTGTGCCCTATCTAAAGCCTAGGGACAATCTAGCAAAAAATTCTACCGTCGAAAACGTATTAGCAGTCCAAAAAGCGCTCTTGTAGAGCGAAATAGAAAAAAAAACAAGACGCGAAGGAATAAAATCTCGTCGATAGCTGACTCATCAATATAGCTATAATATGGAAACATTAGCCCGCAAGATGAAGCATGTTACTGTAACCTAGAAGACAGAAATATGTTTGAAGATGAGAAAGGTATGTGCCACCATTGTAGGGAACGTGTGAAGATGGTGGATCTTCGGCAACGCAGTGCGAAAAATTGTTATAGGACTATACTAAAAAGATACAATGAGGTCCTACGATACATCCATTTGGGAATTTTCAAGAAGTATGGTCTGAAAGCATTTCTCGCGCATGCCAAGCCATTTTGGAGGTCGTGCCAATGAAAACGTAGAGATGAATCGATAAATAAGAATACCTATAAAGGTAAGTACGGACCAACCTGTATCATGATCCACGATAAGAAGCGATATGAAGTAAACCGGACAGAGGTTGGCACACTAATCAAGACAAGCTGACAACAGTTAAGATTGAGAAAACACGAAATTGACCCTACTCGATAATAAACCTGGATTAGAGATGAAGTGCAAGACCAAAATAATTTCGTAATTGATAACTTGGGATGGAATTGTAACGAACTTTCATACACGCTACGCGGAGATCAGTATATCTGACCATGTCGAGGCATATATTCAGTCGATAGTACTCAAGAAGACGCTCGAAAGCTCATTCGATAATCCAGATGGATTTCACGAGGACGAAGGAATAAAATCAGCACAACAAATTTGAGCGCGGGACAAGTACAGCCAGAATGCCGTAATACGATCCAGCGCCAAAATCAATAGAGCAAAAAAAAGACTGACCTTGAAATCTACTTTTTTTTCTCTACATATATATATCCATGTCAAAAAGTGAGAATATACAGACAGTAATCAGGCAGTCCCTTATTGTAGTACATTTGAAGGAACGAAAACGAAACGAGGAAAAAGTAAAGAGAAGCAGTACACAAGGATTGAGTAGAGAGGAAGAAAGGACTGTTTCTGAAAAAGTTGGAGCCCAAAGTAGAAGACTGTAAGCGAATTATGTGATTACAAGTAGTAACAGTCATCCCTACGGGAAGAAACGGTTCTTAGAGGGGCCAGCGAAGCGTATCAAGAAACATGACACCTACTTCGAAGCACTTAATACTTGGAATGGTGAAGCAAAAGGAGAGAGGGGAGAGTTGAGGAGAAGGGGAAGGGGGAGCTGTACCACACAGAGTCCCCACAGTCTGTGACTCCATATTGCAAGGCAGATAACTCCAGATGGCATCACAATGGTATGCAGAGATAGGTGAAGTCAAGTAATTTTGAAATACTATGTGGAACTCCGAGGTAGGAAAGGATCATGATGCTGGCACAACGAATATAGAAAGAATTCGTTCCAGATTATGAAATACACGATACAAAACGATTTCGAAAAATATGGTTGCTTATTTGCTCAGCTAGAAAGGGGAGGAGAGTGGGGGGATGGAGGGGGGCCGATGAAGTATAACTTTTTCATCAAGTGCAACCGCCTACTTTCAGATCTGTATACAGTAATGAGATGGTCTAGACGCGGATGAACAAGATTTATGGTTCTACATAGAAACTACATATTTGATTTTAAAAGGTGTGCCAGGCAATGGTAACTACTTCAGGCCAATAACCATCTATATGTCGAATTTTTAAAAGTTGACAACAAATTGTGCAGCAATTAGATATTGGCACGACGACTATATTGCGGACAATAAACTAGAAGCTGCTGTCCAGGTTCAAGGTGCAAGGGATCAGGCACTGTTGAACTTGGCGGTATGCAGAGAGCATAGCTATCAGCTTTACTACGTGATATGACGTTAAAAAAAAGCATTCGATTGAATTAATCTCAAATATCTCAGTGCACTGAAAGACTAAACATGCCAGTGAGGACTGGCAGGCTTTTCAGAAGCGACCTCTAAATAATCAGTTGGCATGAAACGCAATAAAGAAACCACTATGGAAAAGGAAACAGAACGGAAATCTTCCATGGAGATTGCCTACCCTTCTGCTTCGTTCTGCGCATTAACTAGTAAGCTTAATATGAGGTACTCAAAAGTAATGGTTCCAGCCGAACAGGGAATGCACATGACGAACCACTTATTCTTTTTAGATGATCTCAAAATCTTTGCAACCAATCGGAAGATTATTTAATCTACACTGATAAAGTTCAGAGGTTCCTTGAGGTAGAAAAGTTAAAGGTGAATTGAGCAAAGCTTCTGGCATTCAGGCATGCTCTGATAAGACAGCGCTCTTAGAATAAACTCAAGGGTACTTATAAAAGCTACGATAAAGTCCAGGCAGAAATTTCAATTAACTGAGCGCCTAAAACTGCATTAAATGGTAAGAACTTCATCAAGGTAATAAGCAAGCACGCCTGTTATAATAGAATTTGGATTTTCGAAAATTTCTCGTACAGTTAATAGATTTTAGCATTATTAAAGCTTTAAAAGAAAAAATTAAACAAGCAGTGAAGCAATTTAACCTATTCCAATGATATTGGGGTGGTGTGAAATTTTCTTTATGCTTTCGTGAAATAATTCATTGTGATTAGTTAGTTCATCATTCTATAACAACTAAATTATTACGCTGAAAGTCCACAAAGTTTTGAATCAGTTTTTAGACTTTAAAAGACTAAAGCCTTGAATTAGCAAACTTCCGTCTTCAAAAAGGTTTATGTAAGAGTGAAAAAAAGCAAGATAACTCTAAGTCATATCAAAAAGGAATTTAGAACTCACTTTACAAGAGAATGATATCCAGAATTTAAACGAGTGCTGTATAGCATTTACAGCTCTTAGTATAGCCAAGGCCTCTTTAACTGATGGAACTGTTTCGTAAGCTAGAACATTGAGACCTTCCTGAAGGAGCGGAATTGTTTGCTGGATATGATGGTTCACTATAATCTGCAAATTCATGTGCCTTTTTACACTCGTTAAATAATTTTTGCTCCTTAACTTCAAAGGTTATCTTAGTTAATCTAGTTAATAACTGAAGCAAGTATGAAAGGCAACTTTTGGTATTTGTTTTGAACATGTGTAATCAGTACCTGTTCTTCGAGCTCATCAACATAATGCCCATTATACTCAGATCCATCATGGAGAGTTACACCATATGGTCCTACTGAACCAACTATTTTTATTCTTTGTAACGCTGACAACTCTTCAGCTGCCTGTTTTGCTATTGAAACTAATTTCTGTAATTAAAAAGCATTCACCAACTTATCGACTGTAATGCCATAACTTTAAATGATAAAATGAACAAGGCGAACGACTGATATGTACATTATAGATTTTCTTAGTACATGGCTCATTTTAAAATAGAAAAGTTACTTTTACAGATGATTCAGCAGCTGTCTTTGACATACCACGCGAATTCATCATTGTAAAAATGCTGGCATGATAAGTGTTCGTAAGGATAATATCACTGCCAGCTTCAATGAATCTAAATCATCAATACAACTAATCATATTTGATTTAAAATCAAATTTATGAAAGTGAAGTAAAATTTCAATTTGCTAGATTTACAGATGTTGAGCAGCCAGCGGAAACACATACTTTTTATGAGTTTGAAGTATGAGATCAGGTCTATTAAATATCGCAGCGGAACTCCATAGTGGATCTTTCTAAAACATTTCTATCCTGTTTTTCACTTTCAGCACATCTAATTATTTGATAAAGGAAAGTAACTTTTGACCCCAGATTTCTAACTGCTGAGAAGAGGAACGAGCAATTTTTCTTCTAATACTTTTGCATGATGCAATAGTTGTTTTGCTTTTATAATGATAAATGCAACGTAAAATGATGAAATGAGTGCAATATGTAATGAAATGAAGAAAGTATAAAACCTACGTCAATTATGCATCCAGCAGCTTCCAATTCAGTACCAAAACCACCATCTAATAATTCTATCTTTTCTAATGATATTAGAGCATCGTTCATCCTAGAATCACTCAATACTTAAATAGAAATTAAGAATCCTCTTTAACTAAGTTATAAGCCGAATAGTGTGATACAATACTTTAATCCCAATATATTTAACACGATCACTGCATATTACAACCGTTCCCCCTTATTGTATATGTCTAAAATACCTACATAATGAATTCATACCAGTTAAATAATACTTACATAATGAATATATATTAAAATTAACAGAGCATTAAATTGCAATAGACAAAACTATAAGTGACAACAGCAACTGATTCATTAGCAATTAGTATCATCTACAATTATCTATTAGTATAATATATTATTGTGAAGTGTGTTTACTTCACTGCAGTTGTCAATAACTTCATTAAATTTTAAGGAAAAAACATCATTTTACCAAACAAAAATCTATACTCTAAAAAATAAGCATGAAAAAACTTACTAAACCACATTAGAGACTAATTCTGATGTACAGAAACTATGAAATTTGTAAATAAAAATTCATAATTCAGACATAACTAAATAATGAAGTAGAAAAGAACTGATAAGTCATGTAATAATTTTCACCAATCAAAGAAATTACCCTACAGAAATCAATCTTGCAGTGTTTGGAGCAATTAGTTTATAGGAACAAATGTGGGCTAATTCCAATGTAACGTGAATCAATACGTGATGCACTGTCACCACTTTTTTAAAACTACTCCATGATCTTTGTCCCAAAGTCTTAAGTGATAACATAACCCCTTGCTGTATTTGAATTCATTTTTCATTCCGAAGCTTATCAGAAACCAATTACTAACATACACAGATGCTGTCATGAGCCATCGCTATACTCGCAACAAAACAGTTACACTAAATAGCAACATCATGATAGACTCGTTTGCCTGAACCCTTCACTCCTTCCAAAGATTTGAATTGTGTACTGATGTTACTTTTATAATTGATGAAATTCAATCAAAGTGACGCGAATGATTTATTCATAGTAATCTTACAAATACTCATCGATTTTTGATCATTAGACGATTGTTTTGTCTCCATGTTAACATGAGTGAATAAACAAATTACAGATTATAAATTCTTATTCATTCTTAAACAAAAGATCACAAAAGAAACTTGATTGAAGCTAAAAGAGAATTCTATCCAAATCTTACCCACGAATGAAAAGCTGCTTTTCGGAACTCATAGCGATGATTTAATTGATAGTGTTTTAAAATAATTAATGAACATGTCTAATGAAAATATTAACCCATTTTTTTTAACCAGCTAGCAACACAAGTATAAGTATCATGTGTTCCCAAACTACACTAATTTTAATTGATTCAAAAAATGGACTCTAACTTGGGAAAATGAACTATACTACAATTCTAATGACATGTAATAAAATAACCAAATGGTAGATGAGCTCCATATAATAAACTGATAACAAACGGAATGCATATTAAGTGAACAACAGAACTAATAGCGCAGAATATTTCATATTATTTCTTTCGAAATAGAGAACAGATGTTTGGGAAAATTTAATTAATCAGTTTAATAGACTATTTCAAGACTCAAACTATTCTCAAGAATTAAAAAAACTGTCAACATCTTTCAATCACAATAAATGACCACAAATGAAAATCACTTTTTTTCAGAAGAGATTCAAGATTGAAGATTTGGAACCAAACAATTTGGCACAAAGAAAAAATTTCAATGCATTTAAACGCAAAGAACAATACTCACAATAAGTAACTCGAGTGTGTACGCCTAAATAGCAGTAGCTGTTACAACACAACTTTCATAACCTTGTTTGATTTACGCATGTAGACATAAGACCTTGTATTCATTTCTTACAAGACTGTGTTTGAAAAGAGTGAATAATAGCGTCTCAATGACCAACGAATTTTAATACAGTGAAATATCCAAGCCCATTCAGCATATGGCTGGGTAACCAATATCCAAGAATGCTGCAAATTATAAAGCTACTTTAAATTTTAAAACAATTGACATGATGTGAAAAACAATGGAAAACCTTAATTCGATGATATTTTGGAAATAATAACAATGAAAACTGTCTGGAAAAGCATAACCAAACATTACTAGGCCACTTCATGATTAAGACCACTATCATCTGTGGACTGATCTATTTTCGCAATCGCTCGAGACCATTAACACTAATGTTGCAATTGACTATCAGTTGATTTGTTTCAGATTTTGATCATCAGAATGCAAACTGTATACCTGGATTATAATGAGGCACAATGCATTCTTCTGTACTGTCGATGGTTGGTTGAAACTGTGAACTGAGAAAGTTGGGTACAAGGTTATTATGTGTTGTATACAAAGGATACCACCGCGGAGTACCATACAAAACTTGAGGATCTAAAAGAATATTAACTTCTCAACACTAATGCCAATAAGTTGAAGACACAAAAATTAGACTACTTTATTTAATGATTTCAAGCTTACTGTAGTCTCACAAAGCAAAAAAAAAAAAAAATTTAATTTAGCAATATTGATCACAAAGAAATAAAAAAAGATCCGTTTAGAAAACAATTCAAGAAATAATGCCAAGGATTAAATGCTAAAGCACGCTACAAGAATTGGCAAATGAGTAAATAACAGTTCCCATTACTGTATCAAAATTACCAGAAAGACTGATAATAAGTTGTCCCAATGAGTTATTATCATTGAATTTGTGATAGTCCCATACTGTGAATTCTAAATAATGATTAAACAATTCATCAAACTGTAATGAATACTCCAGTGTTTGATCCCATACTGGATTTGAGGTATTTGGCACAAATTTAGTTCGACGTTTATTTGCTACTCTGCAAATTTCACATTCGACAATCTACCAAATTAATGCAAAAACATTTTTGGATAATATGTTTAATGTAAAGCAAAATAACAAATTATCAATCAACAATCAAATGATACGAACTTTCTTCCAGGCAACAAGTAGACTTTTACGAAAGGATTCGGATAGGATATTGTGTCACAGTATTGACGATATGCAAGATTCCGAGCCGAAAGCACAGTCACAAAAAGTGTTGATGTAGATCGACTATATGACAGCATCAAATTTAGAAAACCTGATGTTCCAGGCTAAAAATTGATATAGAAGCGAAGAAAACAACAAGAGAACACGATCCAGATGAACTGTCAAGTGTTAACAAAAGATCTAATGCTTAGTTTTCCATTTCTCAAAAAATATAATGATCAATTCAAAATTATTTAGAACAGAATTAGTAAAGTTTGAAATATCATTACTCATATTTCATAAGCAAAAAAATACATTCAAAAATAAGTAACACAGTTTCAGATTTTCCGACTACTATTACTGTTCTTTTTAGCAATTATTTTTGAATTTGAAGAAAAAATTTACTCAGTCATATACTAGTCAAAAATTAGCAAATGATCTTATGTGACAAAGAATACACTAGTTTAGAGTGACCTGCTGAGTGCTTGAAACATAACTAAATGGCGCTAAAGAGACTGCCTTGTTGTTTGACACTGACTTCGAAGCAGAGTAAGCATCTGAAGAGGAGAATAACCGCCCATTGGTGTAACGATGTGCTGGTACTGGTGGTGCTTCCGAATTCTGTGAATGATTACACAGTTCATCTGGAAAATTTCATCAATAAAAAAAGAATTACAGATGTATACATCTCTCTGCAAAAATTAATGCAAAAAACTCATACCGTATTTCTGTCCTCTTCTAATTTTGCATTTTTCTGTCCCTTTAGTTCTTCCTAGACAGGATGATGTTACTTGAAGATCATTTACTGAATTGCTTAAAAAAAATAAAATAATAAATAAAGTGAAAACAAGTATTATTATCTATCACATGACAAATTAGATAAATCATCTTAGTGAAAAACCAGAAGTTTCTGATTACATTTCAAAATCATTCTATCGTTCTAGTCAAAAAAGTTGTAGGATGCAAAAGTCCTAAAAACCTGCGAAATCTTAGAAGTACTTAGAAATGTGAAAAAAAATCAACTATTTGATGAAAAATAACGGAAATAATCAAAATTACGCATTTATTTCATATTACTGCTTATTATATTAGAGATGTAAGTAGAAATATATGCAGACCTGGCAATAATAATTTCAATTTCACCCCTACTAGCAGCTATCACTTGTTCCACTTCTTCAAATGTCTTACCCGTTAGCAGCACGCCGTTCCATTCCAAAACTCGATCACCTGAATAAAGTTGTTGATGACTACAAAAAATTATTACGCAAAAAATGAAGTATTTTTACGATTCCGACGCCTTCAATATAACACCTCTACAAATTTTTAATTTTTCTCTCATTTAAAGACGGAGAAGGCAGGTCGTTAAATGCATTATGATTTTACTCAAAAACTGAAACAGAAAAGTGCAAACGACGAGTATTTTCAAGTGAAACTCTTATATACCTATTTTTGAATAAAAATCATAACATTTTTCATGTATAAAAAGTTTCATAAACCAATAATAATTTCTAGATACTTCCAAATGAATATAAAAAATTGTTTAAAATCACTGGTTATTTTTAATGTGGACAATGAATAACGCATAACAGTGCATATAAAATGCAAAGAGGAATGAATGATCTTTTCTGTAGGTTAAACTCGGAAAAATAATAATGTCAATGAGCAAAATTCAAATTCTTATCAAGCTGCTATATTGTTTATTATTTCGATGAAAAAGACGATCAGAGGGCTCTTCAAAAAAACTGATGTTACACTGCACCATCAGTTTTCACTTCTATTCTAATGACGAGTTTGAACTCTAACAAAAATTAAAGAAAATACTAGCATATTAGTAATATTGGATAAAAATGTTAGTATAATATTCCTAACCTTCTTTGACTTCACCAAGTGTTTCTCGAGCTTTTCCACGATTTATAGCGGATATGAAGGCTGCAAGTTCACCATTTGGAAGTTTCTTACCGCCTATTACTCGGATACCAATATCTATAAGTCAAATTCTAAATTATCTTTTCGGCTGACTAAAAATGCTCAAGATGAAGATGAAATGGGCAGTAGTATTTGTAGTGCTTTTCAGAAATTAAATCCCGTTTTCATCTTGCATACATGCAGTGATTTTAATTACAAGATTTAAAGTAAGAGAGAGCATTGTTGGTATGAAGAAATACCATTTTTTGATGTTTTATAATATAAAATAAAAAAAAGAACCACTGTAAACATTTGTATCATGATATTTGCGTGTCAGTAGAATTTTCTTAATGTTTGCAGGATAATGACAATGCAAATGTGTTTTTATAGCAATTGGCCCATCACTGTCATCAGAAGACCGTGCTGACTGTGTCCCCGTAGATTCCCTTACCTATTAAATAAAAATATTGCAAGTGATAAGCTTTGAAAATAATTCCACATCTATTCCCTAACTAAACAGCGAAGAAGAAAACCAAAGTTTGTGTTCGTGAGTGAAATTATAAATTAATGATCGTTACTGCACAATACTCCAAAATTACTAAGAACTTGAAATAATCGGTACAAGGTAAAGCTAGAGTGATTGATCACCAACGAGAATATAATCAAAAGCTCTATTCGCATGAAACATCTATGAAATCTGGAGATTAAATTACAACAAAACTTACTCGATTCCTTCGTATCTTTTTGTCGTAACGCCCCAAGCTAGAGATAGGATTGTGATGGCCTGAAGAATGTAATTAGAAAGAAGCGTGTAACAAACTTTCATCATTTATTCTATTAAAACAGCATGACTTGCAATAAGTGCAATAAAAGGCTATCAAAATTCTGCCAACTGCTATCGACATTTGAGATGATAATTTGTTCACCTTACGCAGTTGTTTAGCAGTAAGTAATCACATATCTCAACGATGTCATAGTGTTCAGAATCTTTGCAAGATAAACATTATAAGATACAATAAGCTTGATGCTTTATTCCATTAGGAATGAGTGAGAGATAATCAAATTTTGCATACTGATGAAATTTTTTGACATTTCAATGAATAACATCTTTTGCTTCATTCTTTTTGTGATAAATTCTATTGGTTTATTATTAACTACATTTGATCTGAAATACCGTAATCTCATAACTTGAAAGAAATGAATGCTGACAACTGTTTACGAACAAAACTAACCTTGGCTGCTTCGTTTTATCAACAACCAAACAACCAAATATACAACACAGAATAATTCTAATGCAGTCACTCAAAAAACAATAATTTCATTTTATTTATTCAATACAGCTTCAAAACCATAATCGACAAATTCTTGCTCCATATGACAGCAGTATGTGCATGAAAATAAGCGGTGGAGTCCATGAGTATTTTGACACGGCAAATGAATTACACAATACCCACTTTCATTTTGACAAAACTAATTCATATAAATTAGAAATCTCACACTCAGAAGACATTTTTAACAGAGCAATAAAAGATTACATCTATGCCATTCCATCAAAAACTCCTTCCTGAATATCCGTCTCTACATGTCAAATATTAGACTCCCAACTTGCTTCAAACTTCACAAAAAATTAATCAATGCCGAAAAACAGAGCTGCTCCCATCTTTATTCATAACTTATTTCTATTCCTCCAAACTTAAAACTTGTCTATAAAGAAGTAATTTAACACGAACCCTTCCATCAACTTCTTAGGCACCAACAAAACTAATGATTATACTTATTTCACTTATGATTTGTATCAGATTTTGACAAAATCGTTCTTCTTTGTCGTAAAGAGGAACCAATAAAAGAAATACAAGGACAATATACTCTACATACAATGGCAATGTGAATTATCCTTTCTAGAGACGATGACAAATTAAGGCTTTATTCTTCCGTAATTTTTCGCACTGTAACAAAGAAATAAGTGACTTTAAATAAATACTTAATTTTCTCAACTGTTTCGAATGACTTAAAAAGAAAAATATGATAAATTTTTAAAATGTTTACTAGATTCGAGGTGAAAAGAAGTGCTTTTGCAAACAAAAAATTTATCTGCTAATAAGAATAATTAACAGCTCAGAAATTCAATAGTAAAATTAAGGCCTATAATTGTAATATTAACAATGCACATGCAGAAAAGGAATAAGATTCATGATGCCAAATGCAGAATGAATAATTATCACAAACTACTAATAAAAGTTAAGACTTGTCTTGCATTTCTATATCCAAAAATGAACAAACAAGAGTATACAAGCAATTGAGGAACAAAATGCCTTGTCAAGTTTGCAATAAAAACACATTATCTGGCACACCGCCATTTCTGATTTACAAATACAAACATTTCACACAATTCAAAATGAAAGCTGCTACAGAATTCCCCTTCAAGGTATTAATACAAGAAATCACATTATCTAGTATTCATGTAAACTATGTAATCATCCATTACAGATAAAAATAGAAAATTCATGGAAAATAGTACATTTCAAATATGAATAATTCTCTGAAAACCACTCTGGATTGAAATTTCAATAACCATATTACTTACATAATAGCGTATCAAATTTTTTCAAATGATCCTTACAGTTCCAAAAACAGAACGAAAAAATCTGCGCATTAAACAAACGTACAAAACATGCCAACACATATAGTGACGAAGACTGTAGTAATGTGCACGAAAAGTTTAAAGAGTAATTACGAATTTGCAAGTGTAATTGTTGCAATTCACTAATTGTTGGTTGAGCAACAGCACTGAAAACAGTCCTTGCATTGAAAAGCTTTCACTGCGTAGCTCAACAATAATTCATTGCAACACCAAAAACAATTTAAACTAGAAATGTAGATAATGAAGCTATCAAAAGTTACTTTCGACTAAAAAGCTTAACATGAAAATTCCCATTAAATATGCCAACCAATACAAAATCTCATGATAGTCTAAACTCGCTGCATAGTGAAGCTTAATTTACATCATAACTTTACTATGTACGTTAAAAGAATACGACTATGTGCACAAAGCGATAATCTCAACCACTGACATCATGAAACCTAGCATACACAAACTGCCAAAGAATATTTACGTAATAACTGAGAATTAAAACCACAAAAATGTACTAAAATTAATAAAGTGTAAACAACTCGGTTTACAATAACAGCAAGAGAACTTTAAGATTGACCAATCTCAATACAATATGCAGATGCAATATAATGCTTGACTTGCGCTCCTACTATTTCACCGGCATTTTTTTTCTTTAAACAGATTAAACATTGAATTATTCAAAAAAAAAATGATAAGAACCATTGTTCAATGAAGCAACCAAGATCACCAACAAACTTTAGTTGAGATCACATTAAAAAGTGATAAAAAATTGATTCAAATCCAATGTAAATCAAGTGCGCATTCATTTCAATAGTTCTCTAGAAATTGCTATATTTAGCTCTTCTAGATTCACAGCTATGCTCTGGCAGTTTTCAAATTGCTACAACATTTTCTCAACCTATTCAGATGTCTTACAATCTAGAAGGATTATTTTAATGTACAACTCAAAGAGACGAAAAGAAATGTAAGAATCAATTAACTATAAATAGAATTATCATGTGTAAGACTATGCTTCAATCAATTTATGAATCAAAAATTAAATGGCTTCATTACCATAATAATGTGGATGAAAAGAACGTTGATTATTCAGCCCATATAAGCGATTCGAAGAATCTTGTCTGGGATAAATAGCATCGTAACTGCTGGTTGGAATGTTTCCACTTGACCAAGCTCTGGTTGTGTAACCAGGTCGATGACGAATTCGTGAATAATTATCTACTAGTACTGATGGCTGACTTGAAGAAGCAACTTGTTGTTCACTAACATTTACGAAACGGTTATTTGGGTGATACTGACCTGCATATGAAACATAAGGATGACGACCTTTTACATATCTATTAGAAGAATCCCACAGTCGTTGATCTGCCCTGTTCCGATAATAATTACCATATTCAGAAGCATAATGCAACGGTCTAGAGCCATAGTTTGCATCATTCCGACTGTAAACTTGCCCAACTGCAGATGCAGATTCTGGGAATGCATCCATTTTCCTTGCATATGGTAACGTCCTATCAATTAGTACGTGACCATTATTCGGATAAGGAAAGTGATGATACCAGGGCCAATTCTCACCCCCCACATAGGAAAGTACATTGGAGCGAACATTAGGAATATTAGGATAGTGAACTGCTGTATGTGGATGAATACTGGGAGGGTTTAAAGAATTTCCAGAGGGTGACATGCTCTGATAATTTACTGCAGATAATGTTTGATTATTCAAAACAGAATTATAAACATAAGGTTGCTTTTTGACTTGGTTAAAATATGTCTGTTCTTCCTTCGGATAATTACTCACTAGTTTCTGCTGATCCGTAATAAATTGATTGCTCAAATAATTAGCATACTGAGACACAAAATCTGTGTTAGGTAAACTCTGAGGACCATCAAGGCTATAGACACGTGAATTACGCAAATAGTGTGGTGTGTACAAATCATCATATGCAACTTTTGCTGCTGGGCGAGTTGATCCTCTTGATCCTGAAGGAGGATTATACATAAAACGTGAACCAGAACGATTTGCAGAGGAAGCAGTATATGGTCTCATTCTAGGATCTTGCATGAAATCTTCTTCTATTGTGGAATTCAGCTCATTCCAGGAACTTGTATGAGCATCATAAGGTCGTGTCGGCATTGGTGGTGAGTGCAAATAATCCCTTTGAATATCTTCATAATTCCGACTAATATAACGTTCATAGTTCCGAGGCAAGGATCCATAACCAAACGGAGTTCGACTCCGACTCACATTTGCATAGTCTCGCATGATTGATCTAGGTGAATGTGTAGTAGGAAAATCAATTCTTGGTAAAGATCCATAATGTGGAACAGTGGAAGAATAATCGGAAGAAGGATGGATAGTAGGGAAAGTAGAAGGCGAGTATAAGTTAATCATCGATGAAATTTTCTCTTTTCGTTGGGCCAGTTCATCCATAACTTTCTGAGTTCTTGCTTCGCGATTCACTGAATCATCATCACTAAAAGCAAATCGGTTTTTTAACCGTCTGCCATGCTCTCTAAGCTGTCTGTCATACTCGGCAAAATACTTTGCTGTCGATTCCAATAAATTTGGTTCTGAAGCCGAAAACTGATTATTCGTAGAGCCAAGATGACGATGGGGAGTAGAAAGAGTACTATAACTATCATAACTTACGGCGCCATTTGTTTGGGTTTCTGTCGAGCGAAACTTTGGTTCTTTTGCTGATGCTGAATCGGTATTGGAAATAAATTCACCGAGATGATCACGTTCAACTTGCTGTCTAAGAGAAGCAACAGATACATAATGATACACTGAGCTAGGTTGGGCAGTGTTTGTAACAGTAGTAGCAGGCAAATTTTCCGACTGAACGCCAACTGATTTTAAATGTGATTCTGAATAGAGGTCATCAGTAGAAATGCCTATTTCATGCGTACTACTTTCAACTGATAACGAACCAGATTGCATGGTATCACATTTAGGCACTAAACTGGTTGTTACTGAGGTTGTTGTAGTTGGTACTTCACTCGGTACCACACGAGCACCACTTATCAATTCTAGAGGTAATAAGCATGGTATAACGTTTGGGATATTATCGATGTCAGCGGGGCGATATTCAGGTAGGAGGCCCGTAATAAGCATGCGATGAACGACATACTGTCTCTGATTGGCTTCTATTTCACAGGCTTCTAGAGATTCTCGCCTTCTTTTCAACACTTCCTTCAGCTCCTTTTTTAGTAATACCCTAGCTAAGAGACTAGGCAATTTTGTACCGGATGGCTGCGACAATACTGAAGAGCGAGAACACGATGCAGCGGAAGTTGTCTGTCGAAGTGGTAATTTGTATTTCGTATTCACAATCACTGCTCCAGGAAGTATGGCAGGATCTTTGGTACGACAGTGAGAGCTCGATGATGACGACGGTAATGACAATTCAGTTAAGGAGGCAGCACCAGATGTGGCTCGTGAACAGATACGATAATCCTGAGAATGATATTGTCGATCAAAGGTAGAGGATACAGCAACTGGGGAGCTTGAAGTGAGGTAGACAGGAACGGGAAGCGTTTTGCTGACCTTCTCTGCTCGTTGTGTTGGTATCGAAGGCAGCTTTCGTCGTCCCATCTCCAGTGACGTCGAACATTGCACATCATCCTGTAAAGTTTACATTTACTTTCAATTACAAAATCATTTCTTTTTCTCTTTGAATCTCAGCTACGATACTTTTTCATGAAATTACAAGGCTCCATTCACAACCAAAGCATGTATTTCGGAATACACTCTCATCGTAACACCTGCATAAAAATGTATAAGCAATACATATATGCATTTATTTTTGAGAGATGTCTTATATATTTTGCATGTTTGCACAGTGTTAGGAAGATGCAACCATTGAATGCTATTTACTCATTTATACGTATTTCAAAACCTAAAGAATTTCAGGAAAGACTAATAATAACGTGAGTCTTTAACTTTATATAAATGAAACTGAAGACTCACATTGTCCTGTCTTAAAGTAATGATAGTCCACTAGCATGAAGATGAGAAAAACTATTTTTCAACATAAAAGACGATGCTGCGTATATGGTAGTATGGAAAATAAGTTAAGAAACAACCTCACTTTTAGCCTTAATCTACGAAATAAAAGTACCCTAAAAATCTGGCTACCAATGTTGTCTGTCGAATATGTTCAAAGAATAATGAACTTGGTTATTTTTACTACAAAACTATCTACTATTTAAACTGCATCAAAACTAAGTGAGAGCACTATGGATCAAAAAAGATGGCTAGAGAAATCCATACTAAAGATTCAAATTACAACAAGTAATAATGATTTAAACACTGAAGTCCATAAATGCGAAGTAATATTTACCAGACTACTTACTTTACCATTTAAGAGATTCTTGGGAGACAAAACTTCTCAGGAAAGAACGATTTCGTAATCAAATCGGGTGGCTAAACGGCAGGTAAAAAATTGTGATGCAAGCAAGAAGAGTGAGGGCAATTTTGAGAGAATGCGATTCATCTAGAAAAGGGATGAAAAACTAAAAGTCTCACCCCAAGTGTAGCTACTGCTTCTCTAGCAATCAACCAAATTCCTTCTCCTTATAAAAATCAATTCTACTAAGACATCATAGATACAAGTACAAACTCAATTCATCGGTATTCAGTTACGTACACGAGCAACATGCTTTTACTTTCCAGTCCGGAAGTAGCCCGTATTGTAGAGTTCTTTCTTAAAATGTGATATTAGATAACCCCATTGCCTACTAAAAAACTGAACTGATTTAATTACATATCTGCTGAATACCAACCGATTTTCTGCTGTATCATTCGTTCACTTATAACACAGCTGTATCAAATTATACGACTGCTGACCAAGAACTGTTTGTTGTAAGTGATGAGTGAAATTAATTGATGGTTCAGCGAGTAATCGAGATTGCGATACATTACTGGTCAGCAGAAGAAAAAACCATAAATGTTATATATATCAACCGATAAGACATGAATCAAATATATGGAAGTGATGAATAAGCAGTGACATTAATAGAAGATAACGTAGTCGTCACAAAGGATGGTTAGTCAAGAATAACAGCGTTGCGTTGCGACGTTTGGTATTGAAGGAAAAACACAGGCCAGAACTACTGGCAAAATCAGACCCAACTATTAGTATGCTGCAAGGCTTCGCCTCACTAGCCAATAGCCAAAGAACAACATTTAGGCCTCCCTTCAATATTGGCTCCTAATTTTATCTTACATTCAAACAGATACATGCAAACACAGACAACATACACACAATTATACGTACACAAACACACGCACACAGACGCACGTAAACACAGATACATGTAAAAAATGCACACAAAGACAGAGGCATACACAGACATATTCATTGAATGGAGAAATATGAAGAATGCATTTTTACGATGAGAAAATGAATAAATATGAAGACGTGAAAAGGAATAGAAACTAGAATGGATGGGACATAAGAAAAAACTCCATTAAGAGACAATATTATCAAAGGATTGAGTGGAATAAAAATGCTTGGGACGAATGTTGAAAAATTTACGGGTTTACCAACAACAGCTTGAAAGCTCTAAGTGATGCTATTACTTTTCATCCATCTCATATTTTATGAATCAGAATTAGGGATACATGTTCTAACCATTACGTACAGCAAGTTTTGTTTTCTGAGTTTCCTAATAATTTATAATAAACTAAGGCTGGACATTTTTCCAGAATAAAATTATAAATAAATCCCTCTTTTTAATTTGCATATGACGTTAATGAAATTCAAAGCACCACTCGCAAAATACTTCTATGAGCAACTATTTGACAAAATAGAAAGGAATCAAATGATTGTATAAATAGAGGTCAGGTATTTTCTTCAATAATAAATTTTTTTATAGTGTCAGTACAAATGACTAACCTTACCATATTTAGATGGAAGTACTGTAAAGAAAAAGATTTCATGAAATAATATTGAGCAGAATATTTTATTCAGTTTGAAAATGTTATAAGTTCAATATTCTAAAGTCGATTTATACCGATTCCTTATGGTTATATTTTCTGTAACAATTTTTATGCGCTTAAGTGTGCGTATACACTCCATTAAAAAAAGTATATTATACATGGCTGTTGAGCATTTACTAAGAATGAAAAAGAATATTTTCAACATTACCAACAATCACATAAAAAATGGGATGCAGTTAAGCAATGATCAGTATTCTTTACGGCTCTAACAATTATTTGGAAGTTTTGCATACTTGAGAAAAAATTTTAACAAATGGCTGCGATAAGAAAGAAAAATAATAATATCAGAACTAATCAATTATGGAGTAAAAAATCACTTTCAAAAATAAGGGAAGATTAACCTCTAATGTGGCAGCTAGCGAGAATAAACTTGGCCGGTAAGCTGTGACAGTGGTTTCAGAAGTTGAACAAGTACTGCTACGCGTGTGATGTTCTTCGCTTCCCATTAACATCATAGCCGGTGAGCGTTTTAATCTGATGGGTTGAAAATTTTCGTTTTTCATTAAGTAAAAACAATAAAAATAAAGCTATATACATATATGTTACAATAAATATCGGCAATGCAGAGTACATTATGCATTATGGAGCACATTTTGAATTCTACTTCCTAATACTGTCGTGAAAGAGGAAGCATTACATTACCATAAATGGAAATTTATTATTACTAGGGTGCCAACAAACCGTGTTGCTGTTGAATCAATATCTTCGGCTGATGTTGCTTTGATAACGGAATCTAGTGCACTTTCCGAAGTTTCCGATAAAGAATTAGATTTTACTTTCGAAGATGAAATAAATGATAATTCATCCAAAGTCTGATGAAAATTCGAAATATTTTCAGCAATATTTGGTGATGCTACATTCGATGGAAATTGAACGGTTCGCGAGTCCATTTTTGGTGCACATGTATCTGAATTTTTCTCTGAAATAGGAATTAATAGAAATAACCATAAATTCACGGAGAGTTTTAGGAGAACAATACTACATCTTGCTCATTTACGGACACAAAGATCACTTGAAAGAACAGTTTCAGAATAAAAATAGTTACATCTACATACATGATATTGATGGAAAGAAAAACAACTTCTCAAATTATGAGGTCAAATGACATACTTTCATCTTCATCTCCATGTTTATCATCTTTATGGTGGTATACAATCTGCATATTATCCGCACTAGTTGATGACAACTCCTGTGAGGTAGCACCAACTATTACACTATTGTCAGTGAATGAAACACGAGAAGGAGACGAAGAAACAACACCCTGCATTATTTAACATTAGTCAGTTTCCATTATTCAAATAACTTATAACCATGAGTAACAGTGGTTTTAGCAACATTTCAAAAAAGTTCTATTTCAGTGCAGTTTGACATAATTGCGACACCTCTGCTTTCTATATAAAATTTAAAAATTCGATCTACTTCACGAATTTCAAAAAAATATAAAATTTTATATTACGATCTTGAAATCGCCATGCATGAAATTATTAAATATTGGAAAGTTCAGTTCTTTACATGAAAAAAAAATAATTCTCAAAAGCATCATATGGGCCAGATATTCTAGGGAAAAAGCGTAAAAAAATTGACATGATTTACGTCTTCCGTATTTTATAACAATAATAAACCGATTGCTCCAGAATAAATAAAAATAGTGTATTATGTACTTTTTGCGCTTTATTTTCAAAGGTAGTTGTTTTAATTTCAGCTGTTGTAGCTGTTGCTCTCACTTCTGCATCATGAGAAAGATTTTGTACAAATTCATCCTGACGCTTTCGGGACTGACTGTAATAATCGCTACTGAAAACAGTCGTTGTTACGTCTCGGCCTGAAAACTTTTAAATTTGTTGCTCACTTCCCTTAAATCTATTCGTAATTCCAGAAAGATTAAGAGCGCACAAAAAATAAGTCACATTAATTGTTTTTGTGCACTGTTTTGTCCATTACAATTGAAAATAAAATAATTTAACCTTTGTGAGCAACATTTCCTGTTAAAACTGTGCTTGATGAGCTAGTTATTCCCCAAAGTGAAGCGAACTCAGGCGTTAGTTTTGAAACATTTGGTTTTATGTGGACTCTGCGGGGTATTTCTTTCGCTAAAAATTAATCACCTCTTGTTACATGTTGAACGTTTCATTAATACACAAGATCTTTTGTGCCTGAATTAATAAATTTCAATTAATAAATAATAGCTCTAGCACTATTTACCCTGTTTAATACTGCCTGCAATGACTGAAATTGTTTTTCTTTTACGTATTTTATCAAAACCTGTACCATAAAACTTCGAATCTGTATTGACTTCACCATCATCTTGTTCTTCATCTTCTGGAATGGTGTAAACCGGACCAGGTCGGTGGATGAAATATTGTTGGTTACTGTCGTAAATAGCTGCAGCTGCATAATCAACCTCTTCTGATTTCAGTGACTGCAACCAATTTATTAAGAAATCAACAGTTGCTGACAGCTATGATAGTTCTTCACAAGTATGGTGATAAATATATGATAGAAAAATTCATAGAAACCTTTAAAAAAAACTACTTCTAAGAAATGAACAAAGAAATTAAAAATTTTAAAAACCAGTATGTGCGAAATCACCTTACTCATATCTTCAGTAATTTGCAATGAAATATCACTGCTTTCCACTTCTATAAACGGATTTTTTCTGTCAGAGACAACTGCGTTCTCAGTTGGTGGCCTATCAGCAATCTGAGTTTCAATGGGTAATGAGATCGAAATGGTTGCCTGATTGGAACAGTTTGCTATTAGCAATATTTTTTAATGTAACATCATTGCTGTCCACTTCCATCAATAGATAAACAAAATATGAAAAAACTTACTGCTGGTGTTGTGCTTTCATCATCTGCGAAAATATTTTCTCTTGTTTCATTGGGAAATAAATTATCATGAGTCCACTGCACATCAAATTCGTCATTTGCCGATTCTCCAAAGGCCTGGTTATAGTTTTATAGAAACCCCTATTCAAAGATCTTGATTCTGAGAAAAAAAATTTGTAGCCGTCAGCATTTTTTACTAGTAAATTTTATACAACCTGTATTTGTAGTAAAACTGTCTTTCCAAAAGCTTCTTGTTGGGCTTGTTCTTTCTCTACTTCGTCATATGGTATCGAAGGAGCGGAAGGCGCTTCAATTACCTAAAACTAAGATGAAAAGAAAATTTTGCAACAACGTTTCATGAGAAAGTCTGAAAGTTTTCTTCTAACCTGATCAGGATAATCATCCTCACTAGAAGAAGGGCTGGTGTCAGCATCCGAATCATCATCATCTTCTGTTCGAATTCTATCATCATGATCAGTTACTGTGATTGCTGGTGGAACTCTGAATAAAAGGATATATCAACAAAGGATTAATGAAACTAGTTATTTTTAATGTCGCGTAAACAAAAACAATTGAAAAATCAAGTTAAATAACATACAGCACAACGCTCTTAGAAGTTGGCAATTTAAGATGGTCATCGGACTGCACTGCTCCTGAAGCACGCTTGAAAAGGGAGGCCTAGAATCTTTGAACTGTAGATAAACAATTTCCTAGAGCTTTTTAATATTATTCTTTCATTCTGAAAATCTTATTGTTTTCATAAAATATAATTCATGAATTATTCACAACACAAAATTCTACAAAAAAACATTAAAAAAAGACATATCAAAAGTAATAAATGTGGAGAACATACAGGACTGACAGAAAGCTGGTCGTTATTATTTTTAAATATATCTACTCCATTCATTTTTTCTCCCCAAACATCAACTGAATCTTGAGAAATGCTTTCAGAGTCTGAAAGATAAGATCCGAAAGTTTAATCTTTTATAAGTAAAAATCTATTTAAGAAAACTTACTGAGAGTGATATATCCAATAAAAAAGAATTTTAATGGTTTCAGTTTTACACCCAAAATAAAAAGGCAACTACTTATGTAAACATAAGCCATTATTTGACCCAGCATTACCATGAATACTGCATGAATCTACAGTTCCTATACTGTCTGCTAGTACCCTTACCATATTTATGTTGTTCTACATTACATTTTTCGTCGTCTTCATTGAACACCGTCATCCACATTCGAGGCTTTCGTTCCGTCCAGTCATACTAAATTTCAAAATTATTTATTCTTCATCATTCATACTTTTTTAAATGGAAACTTACTGCAAAAAACACGATTTCATCACACCTTGTTAATCTAATAAACTGCAGCTTACAAACTATTCATGATGAGAAATGAATTCATTACAACAAAATGAAATTTAAACCTGATCTACGCAATCAGGAGCTCCAATACCACTGTCAGTGTCTTGATTCTCTTTCATCAAATCTACAGGTTGATTAGCAGTATCAAATAAAAATCTTCTATCGTCCCCGTAAGTGTAGTCAAAATCAGCACTTCCATAATCACTACTTCCAGGAGCAGACGAAATATCTGTTTCTAGCGCTTCAGCTTGAACACTGATGTCTGATATCGTTTCTACATGTTCAGTATCATGATCGAGGTTATCATCCTCAACCGCTGCGTAATAATCATGAGGTGAAGAATCACAATTTGATATAACAGATGACTTGTTGACGTTCCTCAACACCTGGTGCTGTTTTATTACCTGTCTGTCTTCTGGATTTTCAGCGCACGTAATTGCAGAATCTTCAAAATAATTAACTTCTCGCCATTTGCTAATAGTTTTAATGCATTACTCAAGTAAAGAAACGTGTAACAGATCATGGAGCCTAATCCATTACTAATATGCAAATTACCACCTGATTTCATCACTTACGCAACATATAATTTCACGCTAATTCAATCACATTCTTAACGGAAAAAAATATTAAATATGCTAATTACGGGTCGAAAGACAATCAATCACATAAACAGCTTCGAAGCTACGCTACGATGACAGTTTTTCAAACAGTTATCAGTAACTATTGATAAGGGTCTAAGCTTAATTTCAAAGATGATTATTAGATACAAATGTGTCCTTTAAAGCTTCCTGATGCAAATATATGTGTAAGATTTACGTCCATAGACTTCTTCACTAGTACTTATCGTATCAGAAAAGAGTTTGTGAATATAGCTCTCTCTAGTCATAATGCATCAGAAAGTAGGTGAAAACTGCAATGTAAATGATGAAGCAAACCATTAAATGGAAGATTCGAAGGCATGGAATTGTAAAATGAAGACGTTGGTGATATAGATGTGATGATGTTTAATTCATCGGACTGCGCAGCCTTCATCACACTAATAATTTGATCTTGTTCAGCTGAGGAAAGATGAGAAAGATCGACTGTATTAGCAAAATCACTAGTGGATTGGGAAACAGCCATGTAATCACGTGATTTTAATTCTTCTGATGAGATGGAATCCGTTTGAGATAGCTGCGGCAAACTTCTTAAATTCTATGACTACTGTGTTGAAATAATGAGATTTGCATAAAAAGGAAATGGCTTCGTTTTGTCATGGGAAGAAGTATTATGATTTTAAAGCAAATCACAGCTCGATGAAAGTATTATATGTTAATTAATAAATTGATAAGCTTCAATTTAAATTAACCTGAATTTACATCTGAAAAAGATCCTTTTTAGCCATCAACGAAAAATAGCTAATTAACTGAGAATTTTGAGCCACAATTTAGAAACGTGTAAATAATAAAATAAAGTTATTAGATGAGAATGGAGAAACCACAAAAAGAAATTTTAAAAACCTTTGATCTTCACTCTGTGAAAACGAATCTGATGTCAACGAAGAAGATATCTTAATTGTACTCATTGATTTTGGCATATAGGCTAATGCTGTGTCTAATTCAGAATTTGCCATCACAGCCAAGATTTTTTGGCGTTCTTCCTCTGACAGATCCTCCAAGCTTGTCAATAAATCACTTTCAATAACTAATGGATTTGGTGTTTCAGGACATGACGGTAGTACATTCTGCAATTTAAACTATTCCATTAACAATAGTGATTACCTTCACATTTGAATGCAAGCAGTCTTAAGTAAGATATCAATAATTATCCTCGTGAGATATAACTTCATTACGTCTTTAATAATTATGATTTGGAATTATGACATTCTATGGCATATGCAGTAATAGCCCTGGATTATCAAAATAAAAGAGCAGTTACCTTAGTTACTGTTGTGAAATCAGAAGTAGAAGAAGCATGCTGCGTAGCTTGCGTAAAGTTTTCGGTAGCTTGTTTAACATTTTTTATAGCATCACCAGCTAAACGTGATAATGAACCAAGCATACTTCTTGCAATAAAATCTTGTTCACCTTTAATATGCCGCAAATTTTTATCGTTTCTTCCTGAATTGTTGTTAACAAATACATTTCAATAATAACACAAAATTTGGCATCTAAATATCGTTTTATCATTTTCGGAAATTGAAATAAAGCATACTAAAAAATGAAGACAAAAAAAAAACTTGCTCTGGCATACATTCTATTACAGAGTAAGAATTTTTTTACTTACCTAACAAGAACTGCTCTTGTTGTCGCTCACTGCGTCTTTCTTGTTGTGGTTGTTGCTGTGACGATTGTGAAGAATTGACACGTGACGCATTGAGTAGCGACGATGACAAGTCAATACTCGCAGAAAAATGTGTCTCCAAGGAGGATGCTGATGTTATTGCAGGCTGCCCTATTGCTTCTTGTTGAGAAGTTGAATCAATAGGCAAATAAGGCATGCTTGTGTTACTAGCAAGAAACCCATTTCGAAGTTTGATCGATTCAGTTTTGAAATTGATACTTTGAATTGACCATGATGATATTGAAGGTAGCGATGATGGCAGTGATATTGATTGCACCATATTTGCCAAATTATTTCCCACAGTTTTTTTTTCTTTTCTTGATTCTGTGAATAGAATTATTTTTATTGAGAGAGAATCATAGATCAAGAAATGAAAAGAAATATACATGAATAATTTTGCTTTTTATTTTGATGAAAAGGATTAAAAAAATAATCAAGTTATGATCCTAAAATTGTATTGAATTCAGAACTTATGAAAATTTTTATATTAAAAAGTATAGATTACTGAACTTTTGCAAAAATATTTCATGATAATTGTAAAAAGCATAGGAATAAGTCAAGTTTTTCATTGCCCCTCAATGTATTCGTCGAAGTCATTCAAACTGTTTATCTGGACTTACCATTTTTATGCTTTATGTTTTTTTATTCTCTAATACATAAGTAAATAGATAAATAGTGAATAAATAAACAAATTATAAATAGAAATAATAAATAAATGAATAAATAAATCGAATAGATTCTTAATACTTTTTTCTAAGAAATAAATCCTCTATCGTCATTTCTAAAGTATTGACATTGTTTTTCGTATAAATTCGTACCAAAAATAAATTTGCTCTTTTGGATGGATCTAAGCTGCATTATCCATAAAATAACAGCTTAAATGCTTTACATTTAAAATCTTTTCTCGTATTTCAACTTCACTGATCATGAAAATCCTTTTAGTTTGTCTTCCCCTTTTTATCTCTAATTTTTCACCATATTTAAAATAGGTTGAAAATCTTTCAGCGATATAACCTTAATGTGTTTTTTTTTTGGAAAATTATTTATAAACTTGTGATTTTCCTTTTAGCAAGAAAATTTTGCAACGGCCATTCATTACTGAAGTACAGATAGAAATCAGAGAGAATTCCAGTGTCACTCAACTTAACGATGAGCAACAGATGAAAGCTAATATTTCAGGACTTTAACTATCAATGGCTAAGATTGAAAAAATGAAAAAATTCATTTCTGTGAATGTTTAATTTTTTCTGAACTTCTTTACTTGAGATTTTACACTTCATTTTGATGAATAATTTAATATTCTTTAAAAGGCGAGCTGGCATTTTCATCATGATAAATTGAATTAAAAATAACTTTGGTATTTAATTCATTAAATATAAGATGAACAGCCGGTCTATTAAGTTTAAGCTTAAGTCTATTTTCTTCATTGTGCAGTTGGATTACATTGAATAGCTTGATTCGCTAAGTAATTTGGTTATATAAATTAGTACGCAGTTTCCCAAGTAGGATTTTATTATACTAAATTCAATTTTTGGCTGATTTTACAATTATGAGCTGTAAAATTGAAACCTGAGAAATCTTCGATAGAGAGCGACCTTTTCAGTGATTTTAGGTTTTTTTGATACCAGTTCGAGATATGAAGCTCATGATAAGATTCTTCGAATGATTTTACGCTATCATCTGGTTTTCTTTGCTTTTCCATCCAATGATCGTTTCGCAGATCTATTCTCCACTTCTTTTTAAACTCCTTTCCTAACCTTAATTCGAATGGCGTCTCATCTTTAACTTGCATTTTTGACAATACTGGATTCGTTTTCTGCTCTACGTTTATTTCACTGCTTTTTAAGTCAACGCTGAGATAAGAGCCACCTCTCGACTTATCCTGAACGTTGCTAAACTGAAATCCTTCTTGTTTCTCCTTAACAATTGTTGGATGTTGTTTTTTTGCTACATTCTCTGTAATATTTCTAGTTACATTGGTAGTGAAGTAAACATTATTTGTAACCCCAGAGTCGCTTTCTCCAAGAATCAACATACTCGACAAATCGTTTGCATTTTCAGTTTCAAACAGATGATCAACTCTTCTAATATGTTGAATTTCAGCTTCTGTTAAACCAGAAAATCTATCACTATCACTTTTTTTCACAGCATGATATCTATAATTGAAATCCGAGTATTTTTCTTTCGTGGATGGCGAACATAATACAGAATCCATTGCTCGATCTTTCTTTAGTCGTTCATCGTTAAAATTTTCTATGCTTACATCTTGAGAAAAATTAGTTAGACTAAGATTCTGAACAACTTGTGCTCTTAAATTTTCATTTCCGTAAACAGCGATATTCCTCAAAAATCCTCCTGTATTTGTGCATTCTTCCGCTTGTTTTGGTATAGGAAGTGCAGCTCCAAGAATGGGCTTAAATAATCTTAAACCTTCTTCAGTTTCTGAATGACCGATGTTTGATGAGTCACTGAATGATACAGGTGACGATACTGAATGGTGGTTTTCAATAAATTCAGTAGTTGTAACTTTAGAAACTCGATCTTCTAAAGCAGCTAGTGCTTCAACACTACAAATATGAGTTATTTCCTCCTCGGTTAGTTCACTAATTTGAAGACGTCTACTTTCAGAATGCATCTGCTCATAGTCTGATTCAGCACTTAAAAACCTTTTATTCGGGCCAAACCGTTTTTGTAATTTTGATTTATCATTCGCAGATTTACTATTTTGATAAAGGTTTACTTCATCAGTGATACTGACAACATCAGCTGTATTGCCTTCTATACGTAGATTTATGGAATCATCAAATTCATTTTCATCTTTCAGTAAAACTTCTCCGTCTTTATCCCCTGAATTATACTTTAGAGGAAAAACTGACGATGTGTCATGCCAGAATTCATCTTTTTCAGCTTTCAATTCTCCTCTTTCATTATGCGTCGCTTCTTCATTTGTTAGTTCATTTACTCCCAAAATTAATTCTTTATGAGCGATTCCAATCTGGGTTCTTTCTTGAGCAATGCCAAACTGTTCAAATTGTTTGGCACGCTGTTCTACAGCTTGAATGTGAATCAGTTCTTCCTTGGTTAAAATATGTTTGTTTAAGCTTTCCTCGACAATTTTTTTTTCTTTCGATACTTTGGAACCAAATAAATTCACCATTCTTGACTTTTCTTTTATATTCCTGAAATCTGTTACTTCTTTTTCAATCAAGTCTACAGTTTTTTTCCATTCCTTGTTCAAAATTTGAAATCCACTCAAAAAGGATGTATTCTGCTTTTCTTCCCATTCCTCGGATGTAATAGCAATGTGCTCAAACTTTTCTTTGGTTAAGCATTTATCATTATCATCTTTCTCTCTAGTGTATAGTTTCTGTAGTAAGAAGTCATCATCATTTTCTTTTGGCATTACGAGTTGTTCTGTTGATCCATTAATCATTTTAAAACAACCTAATTCTTCATCCATGATATCAGATATTTCCGCAGTGATCGTCTTCTGTTCTTCCGACTTTCTCAGCGGTTCTTGCATTTTACCTATCTGCTGCATTACTTCATCATTAGTTATTTTAATGCTTATCTCTTCATAACTGTCAACATTTTGATTCTTTCCTACAATGTCAAACTTTGGAGAATGAGACTGATTCTCAATGAATTCCCCTTTTACTTTGCTCGAATTTTCATCTGAATCTTTTTCGTTTATTTTTCTTTTATTGTTCTTATTAAATGAACTTACTCCTAATTCATTACTCATGTTTCTGTCTCTCAAATCATTCTTTTCTTCAGCATATATTCCGTCTAATTCTGATTTTTTACATTCTTCAGTGTAGCTCGTTTGATTCATCTCTGACTCCTTTTCAATTGCTGTTCTATTTCCTGCTTCTGATTTTAATGATGGATCTATACGTTCAATATGTAGTGCACTATTGTGAACTTTAAAGTGTGGCCAGTCCATCCCTTGCATATCTGTTTTTAACAGCGTCGCTGTCTCGGTAACTCTTCGAATAGGCTGCATTTCTGCATCGGAAAACTCGTTAGAAAAATCTTCACATCTGTCATTTTTGCTTGGATATGAAGTTGTAGCTTCCTTTGTAACAGTTTGCATCATTAATTTTTCAGTAACCTCCTTGTTATTTCCAATTGATGATGTGGTTGCTTTAAAAAACTTTTGTTTTGTTTGGAGAGTATGTTCTCTTGGTGTGCCGGTCAAAACTGCAAATTCGTCGTTTACAGATTTCACGGAATCACCTTCGTTACTTACTGTTTCAGTAACATTCTTATAATATTTGTTATCAACATCCTGTGAATCGTTTTCAAAAGTATCAGTATTTTCGACTTTAATCACGAATGGGTAAGCCCTTCTTTCTGCTTTTTCAATTACACCTTTGATGTGAGTCTGCTCGTAAAGTTCAAAATTGTCCATATCAGGAAGTTTGTAGATAGACTGCCTGGAAGTATGATGAAGTTTCAATATACTATATTTAAAAAAATAAATCAAATAATGTCACTGAAAAATGATTTTTTCACAGATAAAGACTTGAATCACATGCTTTCACAATAAGAAAATAAAATAAGAACGCATCACAGTGGATCAATTTTGATTCAGTTCAATCTAGTAATTATGGGACATTTTATTGGCAACTTTTTTCACTGTTTACACAAAACTGTACCTTCTTCCGACGGAAGATGATAACTGACTACTTCGAGAGCGCTGGTTTGCTGCATCTAATACCTGAATGTTCTAACAATACAATTCCAAATTCAATAAAACGAGTTTCGCCCGCGAACATTATTAGATCAGCTAATAATAAATAAACAGACCACAAATAATGACTTAATATGCTAATTCAAATCTTGGTTCAATAACCTGAGATTTGTTATGTAAATGATAATAACATTCCGATATTCCATAATAAATATGCTATTTTCATATAGAAAAAATGAAGTAACGGAGACTGCTACCGAAATACCAAAATTTTTAACATCAGCATTTAAAAGCCATACTATCGAAAACACAACAAATCACCCTCAAAATGAAAACAAACCTTTTCAACATGATCTCGTTCATCTATTGAGAGTCCGCTAAGTATTTCATCCGGAATTTTCATTTCTAAATCTGAACTACTGCTTTGAGTCCATGATGTTCGTCGTACCAAATTCATGAACCCATTTCTATTCTCATAAGAAATTTCCAGATTTGAAACATCTTGCTGATGACCAATTGGCCAAATAAAAGACAGTCGAGAGCGTGACCCGTTATCTTGACTTTTTCGGCTGCTTGTTGTGTCAAACAAAGACAACCAAGATGAACGTCGCGAAGATGGATGTGTTTTTGTCATAAAATACATCTCTTCATTAGACGTCGGGCTGAAACAGAGCAGTAGGAAGTGAAAGTAGTTTTATTTCATACAAAGCAATTTTTGACCACAGGAAATCAAATCCACTAAGCAAAAAATGTACATAGAGTACACACCGTAAACAAAAAAATAATTTCTAATTTTCAAACAGGAACTCAAATGTCTCATTCAGAGAGTGAGATAAACTCTTATATGCACAAGAACAAAACATTTAATTAGAAGGAAAACATTCTATTGATAGGAAAACACAAACCTTTGTACAATCATATCTTTGACATCATCACAGCATTCAGATGGGGTGAAAGCGGATGACTTCAAACCCACGTTTATATCAGGAGATATATCCATGAAACATCGAGCCTTATCATTTAAGTCTGCTTCGAAATATCGTGCTAAATCCCTTTCAACAAGTTCTGCTACATGTTCTGACATTCGCTCTGCAAAAAAATTAAGTTCCATTGAGTAATCCCTTTCATGCAGCACAGACTCCTCACTTGCAACAGATTTCCTATCACAACATTCCAAGATATTACGATGAAATTCAGGAAATCGTGCCTTCCACTCCGCGAACGAATCTTTAACCGATTGGTTCTTAATCCAATCACGACCAGATTTTGTAAGAAGAGGTTCGGAAACAAACGACCTGACAAACCCCAGATCGCTACCGAAAGAAATGAGTCTGTTTTCGAGGAAAAGAGTATCTGAACTGGAGACAGTCAATGCTTCATCCCAGTGGATTCCAGATAATCTATCTGGCAAGCTCTTGAACATTCCTACGTGAACACGTGTAGACCATCTACGAAAATGCTGATAAGATGCCTCTGATGTTGAGGAACTTGCCAGTCTTTGCACCTCTTGATCAGCAAGAGATTTTGGACTATCATGAGTAGAAACTTTTGGCTCAAACTCCAAAATCGCTGACGAATCTGATAAGTCTTGAATACCAGGTGTTATCATCTGTGATTTTGCCTTCATGGCAATACCCTCGTTGGTTACA